ACCCGTGGTGATCTCCCTGCTTGAAGGAGGGGAAGATCCCTGGATCCCAGATGTGCGTAGCCCTGAGGCTGTGCCAGGTGTCCCACCTTCACCAGGTGAGGTGGTGGAGGGAAGGAGGAGGCTGGAGCTGGAATAGCCATCTCTGTCTGTGTTTTATTTGGGGCACTTTGTGCTATTTCTGGATTTTCTCTTTCATCCAGCAGGAACTCGGATTACAGATATATTGGAGGATCTGCAGGAAAGTGGTGTGGCGGAAATCAGAAGGGATGTCCAAGGAGGCCTGGAGCAAGGTCAGGATGAGCACATCTTGAAGCAAGTGGGAAAGTGTCCGCAAAAGACAGGAAACAGCCCACTGGACTTCAACATAGGTCAAAAGGAGCCTGAAGAACCCAGGAGCAAGGATGTGTGCCAGAAGAAAAAGCAGAATCCATGCACAGAGTGTGGAAATAGCTTTGAAAAAGATTCCAGCATTGTTAACCACCAGTGCATACGCTCAGCAAAGAGTCCATACAAGTGTTCTGACTGTGGGAAGAGCTTCAAATGGAGATCCCAACTCACCTACCACCAACGCATCCACACAGGAGAGAGACCCTACAGGTGCTCTGAGTGTGGGAAGAGCTTCACAATGAGTTCCCACCTTACCTACCACCAACGCACCCACACAAAAGAGAGACCATACAAGTGCTCTGAGTGTGGGAAGAGCTTCAAATGTCGTTCTGATTTGAACAAGCACCAGCACATCCACATGGAGAAGAGACCTTTTAAATGTCCTCAGTGTGGGAAGAGTTTCAAAAGCAGTTCCCACCTCAGCAATCACCGACGCATCCACACAGGGGAGAGACCCTACAAGTGCCCTGAGTGTGGGAAGAGCTTCAAAAGCAGTTCTGAATTGAAGCTGCACCTGCGATTCCACACAGGAGAGAAACCGTTTCAGTGTCCTGAGTGTGAGAAGAGCTTCAGAAGCAGTTATGAATTGAAGAATCACCAGCGCATCCACACAGGGGAGAGACCCTATAAGTGCTCTGAGTGTGGGAAGAGCTTCAGAAGCTGTACTGCATTGAAGTTGCATCACCGCATCCACACAGGTGAGAAGCCCTACAAGTGCTCTGAGTGTGGGAAGAGCTTCAAAAGCAGTTCCCACCTCACATACCACCAGCGCATCCACACAGGAGAGAGACCCTACAAGTGTCAAGAGTGTGGGAAGAGCTTCACAAGCGATTCAGATTTGAAGAAGCACCAGCACACCCACACAGGAGAGAGACCCTACAAATGTCCTGAGTGTGAGAAGAGCTTTACACGCAGATCTTATCTCAACAACCACAAGCACATCCACAGTGCACAGAAGTTGTTGAAGCATCCCAAGATTCGGGGAACCTTCAAAAGCAAATCCCTTGAATAAAGGAAAAGCAGCCAAACCCAATCCACTGTCTCCTTCTTTGTATGGGAACTGCTGAGTCACGGCCTGAGCCTCTGATTGACCTGAGGCGAGCAATGAGTCAGCCATGGGAGCACAGGTGAAGGCAATTCACCTGTGCTGCAGGAAGAGATGGAGCGTGGCTCCAGCTCTCCTAGATCCATTTAAGAGCTGACTACCAGTGGGGAAGGATCTTTTCTGGAGATCCGCTCTGCTGGAGTTTCCTAAGTGAGCCTAGGATACGGGTAAGCATCCTATTTATTCTTTTTGTCTTGCTTTGCCTAACTCTGTTGTTTATTTCGTTATTATAATATCTTAATATTCTTTGATTATACAATAATGCATGTTGCTCTCCTTCACCTGCATTTGCTTGTTGAGTGGCCATGCGAAGGAGAATCCAGAGTGGGATGTGTCATCAGCCACTGGAAACCCTCTGCCAGGTGGCACGTTTCTGCCAGGGGTGCATGCAAGGAGAGTCACATCTTACCTCCCCCGTAGAAACTCCTGTGCTGTGGGGCAGCAGGTGAGCATTCAAAGAGGTGAGAAACCTCAGCTGGGCTGATAGGTCACCAGGAAGGAAGAAATCCTGTTTGCTGGCAGTGTGGGAAGAACTTCATCTGGAGCTCAACCCTCAGTAGATGCCAGAGAACCAACACAAGAGGAGAGTCCCTGTGAGTGCCTTGACTGCTGGAAGTGGTCTGTCCAGAGCTGGGAGTTCAACACACACCAGTGGATCCACACGAGGAACCCTACAAATGTGCAGCCTGCAAGAAGAGCTTTGGCCACAGCTCAAACCTGCTGTGGTACAGAGTGTCTGCACTTGGGTGAAGTCCAATCCGTGCCTGCACCAGTGAGTTCACGTGGCTGGAAGCCTTAGAAATGCCTCGAGTGTGAGAAGGGCTTTGTGCAGAGCGCAGAGCTCCTCACTCACAGGAGATGGCACTCGTGGCAGAAAATGCTACAAATGTCCCATGTCTGGGAAGAGCTTTTCCTTGGGGATCCACTCAGGGCAGAGACCCTAAAAATGCCTGCACTGCAGGAGGAGCTTCATCCAGAGTTCAGTCTTCATCAAACATTGCCCTGTTCATGTGATAAAGAGGCCCTGCAAGTGTCTTTGGTGCAGGAAGAGTTTCTCTCTGGGCTGGCACCTGCTTTCTCATGGGAAGACCCCCAACGGAGAGACAATGAGGATGTTTAAGAGCTCAGGATGAGGGAGACCCAGATACTTCTCCACACACAGGAGGAGCTTGTGAAGGAGATGGCACCACTGGCACCCTCTGCACAGGGGACATGACTCAGGAGCTTCAGATGGCCTTTCCCTGCTGCCCAAAGCAGCTCTCTCACCATGCCTGCTTTCCTCTTCTGCTCCTCCTGCCAGCAGCTTTTTGATGCCGTTTCCTAAGGAGAAGCAGCTGTGTAGGGATGTTCTGTGTGTCTGTGTGCTTGTGTTGCTCTCAGTAATCTGTGAGTGCACTGATGAATCTGAGAGGGGTCAGGAGAGCAGTAACGTGGCTCTTGGAGGTTTTCTGAGAATCATCAGTAGTGGAAAGGGAAGGGGTGAATGAAGTAGCTGAGTTGTACTGAAGCTTTCTTCACTGTTGTCTTGTTTTTTATTCTGAAAATCAATGTCGGCACGTGGAATGAGAAGAGGGAAAGGTGCAAGCAGGGTTTGTTTTTGGTGCCTCCTCCAGCCCAGTGCTTGCTTCTGGGGAAGGCATTTCTCTCACACAACCCTATCGTCCTTCCTATCCCAGTGTGCTGCACATTGGTTCTATTGCTCTTCTCAAATGCTTTAATCAGCTCAGAGCAGCTGTGTGACAGCAAGCCTTGGCTGTCCAATAAAACTACAAAAAGCTGAATGTGTCCTTCCTAAATGCGCCATCTAAATTTTCTGGAGGTGGAGGGAATAGTAGGCATTGGAAACCCACGTGGTGCACAGCTGTGGGGAGGCTTTGTTGGTTATGGCCCCACAGGGACCAATTACTACTTCAATACTCTCCAACATTTCTGGACAGCGTTTTGACTGCACCTCGATCATTTGGTTACAGCAGGCTTCTCTCAGTGCCAGAAGTCCACCGACACCACACACGCTGTGGGGCTCATTACAGTGCAGAAAGACCTAACGAGCCATTTCCCTCAAGTCTTCAAGACTTCAGCTGCTCATTAGGGAGGTCTCAGTGTTGCAGACAAAGCTTTCAAGGAGCCCTGTCCAAAAAAGGAGTTGTCATATTTAAGGCATTTTTATTACAGCAGACACAGAGATGTCACTGAGTGCGGCACAACCCCTGTGACACAGATGGCAGCTCCAACAGGGAGAGGGAGGTACAGCCTGCATGGGGACAGCATTGTGGGGATCCAAGAGGGAAATGCAGTCAGTGAGAGCTGATAAGCAGATAGAGACTGCACCAGGCAAAGATGGGAATTAATGCAGATGGAGGAGAAAGAGGCCTGTGGAAGAGGAGGGATGCTTGTGGCCACATGTGTGGTCAGTGCTGGTCTGGCTGGGGGTGTGGGAGGCACAGAAGGGAGCTGACTGCCCACCAGGACCCAGGGCTACAACCTCAGGACAAGATGCCTCAACTGATTCAGCTGAATCCCATCCCTATGGGATGTAAAGGGCTGTCCTGCCATCAGATAGCTGACCTTGTTCTCCTCTCTTTTCCCTCCCAACCGTGGGTGGACTTCCAGAAACATTCATGACTGTGGAGGAAGCCTAATTCTCCTGCTGTGTTGGCTCATTACTACAATGGAAGAGGGAAGAGTTTGTGAGACACGAGAGTACTGGGCCAGTGCTTGACCATGCTTCTGAACGAAGCACGACTGAATCAACCGCTGATTCAAGGTGTCATGAAAAGGCCAAAACACATGTAGAAAAAAATCTCTGTGTAATAAATGTGTAATAAATAACTCTTCTGAGTTTTGAGGACTTTCTATAAATTCTCATGATCTGTTTTTCAGCAGTCAAAATGCTGTCCAGAAATGTTGGAGAGTGTTAAGGTATTAATTGGTCCCTGTGGGGCCATAACCAACAAAGCCTCCCCACAGCTGTGTTAGAGCAGATTGGAGGCTGTGATTCCAGGCAGGCAAAGGCCCTGTGCAGGTGCTTTCAGGTTGAGAAAGCCCTTGGTTTGTCTGATGCAACAGAAGGGTAGGGCCATCGCTGCAGGCTTTGGGAAGGGTGGTCCCATCCCTCACTGATGGGCCAAGGCTCTCATACGGTCAGTGGGATGTGGGTGTGGAGTGTTCTGTGAGGGAAAATGACATAACACCTACTGGCCTCCCTACAGGGCTGCAAGGAGGCACCCTTGACACAAAGATAACATGTACCCTCTTGAGCCACAGCAGCAGACACAACTGCCACAGCCAAAAAGACAAAGACCTTAATTTTCTGTCAGGTCCCTCCAGCCTTGCCAGTGCTGTTGGCCATCTCCACCATGGGCTGTTCTGTGCAGTCCTACACTTGCCTCCTTTTCCCTGCAGGCTGCAGACACTCACCTCGACTCCTGCACTGCCACTCACCCTGGCACAGCCTTACTTTGGTGGTTCTGCAATCTCACTAGCTGTTCCTTGTGACACAACAGCACAGATCACAGCGTCCTGCTGGGTGTCTCAAGCAAAACAGCACTACCACTGGAGGCGAGGCTGACCTGTCAGCTTGGGCAGAAAGAATCACTTCCGAGGTCTGTACGCAGATCTCCAGCCCATCCTGTTCATTTCCCATGCTATGCGCACTGGTCTACAGGCACTTCAGAGAAGCAGCAGGTGCAGTTACACCTAGAGGGACGCAAGAAGATTTTGGATGGGGTATTGGCAACATGACCTTTTCTGTGGAGCCTCCGTATAACCCTATGGCCCAGCTCAGAGGTTTTTCCCTGCATTTCTTGTCCATCAGGAGCCCACATACCTGTTTTCTCAAAAGCCTGCCCAAGATCAGAATACCCAAAGCCTTGATCAAGATACTTTCCCCCTCAGTCAGGCAGCAAATGGAAGCCTCAGTGCTCCCCAGCAAGGAGCCCCCAATTACTAACACTCTCCATCCATTTTTGGTGGCACTGGTATTGATGCAGGGCCCTGTCTGGCCCCACTTCCTATGCCTCTTACTCCCTGCACTCTCAACGTGCATCTCGGTGCGTGGGTTTTGACTGTTTTCCTGACCCTCATCCTTTTCTTGCCTGAGAGACTCAAATCTATTACATGGCGACTCTGCAGGGGTTGGTGGCACCGTGGGTGTTGAACAAATGAAGAGTAGGTAACCATTCATGTGGGTAAATGCTGTCAGAACACTCAGAGGTGAGGTGATCCTGCATCCCTGGTCCACAGAAGAAATCCTGCAGCACAGAGAAGGCAACTTAGCCTTGTGCATGAACCACTCAGCAATCATCTCTGTGCAGAAATGAAACAAATATCTCATGTCAATCTGAGAAAATCAGATCCTGGCATGGCCCTCAATTTCTGGGAAGCTAGTCACACATTCACAAGTGAGGCTGTTCTTGAGACACTCCTTTAAATAAGAATAATTAATAGGTATCATCATCCAGGCTGAGTGGCTTATAGTAAAGTCCCACAGTGACATCCACTTTAGTTCCTTGTCCCTTAATCCATATCCAGAGACTTTCAACCACGTCATTACTAACTGTATGCTCCGTTCCATCCAGCCCACCAGTACTTACAGCAACCCTATCCCATCTCACCTGCCATGCATCTCCAGCCTGGAGAGCCCAGAGCCATCCATCACACACAGCACACCCCTCACAGCACCATTCCCACCACATTCCACTCATGCTGATGATGCTGCAGCACACAGGGCCTCCAGCTTTAGATGCCAACGTGAAAAACCAATAGCACATAACAGCCTTGCACATGGGCAGCTGGGAGGCTGGTTGTTCCCTTGGGAGCTCTGTCTGTGGCTGTGTTGATTCCATGAGTGCAGAGGTGACATACGAAATAGCTTTCTGTGGGGTGGATGCAACTACTGGTAGAATTCACCACCACAAAGCCTCCTAAGTGAACAGACACCCTGAGACTGGAAGCCCCCCACCTCCATGCCCTCCATTCCACCACCACAAGGAAAACAAACCGTTGTGGAATCTGAAATGCTCCTGTTCCTGCAGACAAGGCACAGCAGTCACAACTCTGCAGGGACTCAGACCACAACAGAAAGACTTTCCCCAGAGCAGAGGGAAAACAGGGAAGCTCAGTTACAGATGAGTTTTCTAACTCTTAATGCAACTAAACATGGCAGGTGACAAAACATAGGGGGAAATCCACCATTAGAATGATTTCTTCAGGAAAAAAATAATGGAAAAACAGTTACACTGGCTCACCAAAATCAACCTCCACTTCCTGCAAGCTGCATTCCAAACACAGCAGCTTTAGCTGAGCCCAGCAAATGAGGCACTTCTGCAGGAGATCTCAGACACACCTTCCCAAGGTCAAAGCAAAAACCTTCAAGCTCAAAAGGAATCACCGGCAAGGCAAGCACGCACTGCAGAGCACTCTGATATCTCTGTGCTGTGGGGATGAGCAGCTTGTGCACCGTGTGGGTTTGCACTGCTTTGTGCTCCTATCACCTCCAGAAACTTGGGATGGCGCATTTAGGAAGAACACGTTCAGCTTTTTATAGTTTTATTGCAGACAAACAAGGCTTGGTGTCATACAGCTGCTCTGACCAGCTGATTAAAGCATTCGAGAAGAGCAGCAGAACCAATGTGCAGCATGATTAGGAAGGATGATAGGGTTGTGTGAAAGAAATATCTTCCCAAAAGCAAGCACTGGGCTGGAGGAGGAACCAAAAACAAATCCTGCTTGCACTTTTCCCTTTCCTCATTCCACATGCTGACATTTTTTTTCAGAACAAAAATAACAGTTGTCATGGTTTTGTGATTTTTGGCTTTCGGTATTCCACATCATAACATCATGTGGGGCAGTGGGAGTTTAACTGTTAATGCTCAAGCTCTGGGTACCTGCCTGGAAGAACAGAAGAACTACATTCCCCAGGGGACTTTGCGGTCACAGAGAGTCTCGAGATACAACTCCTGGCAAGGTCACCTGATGCGCTCTTCTTTTGCCTACTTTTGGTTGGGTCTCCTCCCTTTTCTCCCTGCTGCTCAACTGGACTGCGCATCTCACCTCAGCTCTCCGCGTTGTGGTGAGGCCTATCCACCTTTCAGACATTCTCTCTCATTATATTTGATTTATTAGCTTCAAATTTAATTATATTGTATTGTAGTGTGTTATCTTGCATTCTCATAGTATATTTAGTAAATTAGTTTGTTTCTCCTCAGATTGTTGCCGCTGTTTTTAATTATTCTGGGGTCCCCTGTTCCCTTTTTCCGGAGGCGCGGATCTGCGGATCCCTCCGCCCCGCTAGTCACGGAACTGGGCCAAACCAGCCCGTAAACCGTTAACAACAGTGAAGAAAGCTTCAGAACAACTCAGCTACTTCATTCACCCCCTTCTCTTTCCACTGCAAATGGTTCTCAGAAAACCTCCAAGAGCCACATTACTGCTCTCCTGACCATTCCCTCAGGTTCATCAGTGCACTCACAAATCACTGAGAGCAACACATGCAACAGACACACAGAACATCCCTACACTGCCGCTTCTCCTTAGGAAACAGCATCAAAAAGCTGCTGGCAGGAGGAGCAGAAGAGGAAAGCAGGCATGGTGAGAGAGCTGCTTTGGGCAGCAAGGAAAGGCCATCTGAAGCTCCTGGGTTATGTCCCTTCTGCAGATGGTCCAGAGACACCTGCAGGGCCAGTGATGACTTCTGCACTCTGCACAAAGCCCTTCTCACACTCGAGGCATTTCTAAGGCTTCCAGCCACATGAACTCACTGGTGCAAGCATGGATTGGACCTCACTCAAGTGCAGACACTGATACCTCAGCAGGTTCAAGCTGTGGCCAAAGCTCTTCTTGCAGGCTGCACACCTGTAGGGTTCCTCGTGTGGTTCCACTGGTGTGTGTTGAGCTCCCAGCTCTGCACGGAGATCTTCCTGCACTCAAGGCGCTCACAGGGACTCTACCCTATTTGGTTCTCTGGGCTATACTGACGGTTGAGCTCCAGATGAAGCTCTTCCCACACACCCTGCAGAAAGAATTTCTTCCTTCCTGGTGACATATCAGCCCAGCTGAGGTTTCCTTGGGGTCCTCACCTGCTGCCCCACAGCAGAGAAGTTTCTGCAGGGGAGGTAAGAGGTGACTCTCCTTGCACACAGCCCTGGCAGTAATGTGCCACCTGGCAGGGGGTTTCCAGTGGCTGTGACACATCCCACTGTGGATTCTCCTTTGTTTGGCTGCTCAACACAGCAACTGCAGCTAAAGGACATCAATATACATAATTCTCACGCAAAGAAGAAGAAAGAGGATTTAAAGCAGAGCACTTCCTCTACTCAGGGGATTTCATCACCACAGAAAGCCACAGGTGGTGACCAGACTGGGACCCTGGCTGAAGCTCTTTCCACATTCAGGACTCAGCAGTCTCTACATCTTGTGTGGCTGTGCTGGTAGGCAACGAGGCTGGAACTGCTTCTGAAGGTTCCCAGAGTCTTGAGATGCTTCTACAGCCTGTTTGTGCTGTGGATGCGCTTGTGGGTGTTGAGACTACATCTTCGTTGAAAGCTCTTCCCACACTCAGGACACTGAAAAGGTCTCTCCCCTGTGTGGATGCGCTGGTGGCGCTTCAAATCAGAACTGCTTTTGAAGCTCTTCCCACACTCAGGACACTTGTCGGGTCTCTCCCCTGTGTGGAAGCGCTCGTGGCGCTTCAATTCATAACTGCTTTTGAAGCTCTTCCCACACTCAGAGCACTTAGAGGGTCTCTCACCTGTGTGGATGCGCTGGTGGCGCTTCAAATCGGAACTGCTTTTGAAGCTCTTCCCACACTCAGAGCACTGAAAGGGTCTCTCTCCTCTGTGGAAGCACTCGTGCCGCTTCAAATCAGAACTGCTTTTGAAGCTTTTCTCACACTGAGGACACTGAAAAGGTCTCTCTCCTGTGTGGAAGCGCAGGTGGTAGATGAGGTGGGAAGGGCTTTTTACGGTCTTCCCACACTCAAAACACTTGTAGGGTCTCTCCTCTGTGTGGAAGCGCTCGTGGCGCTTCAGTTCAGAACTGCTTTTGAAGCTCTTCCCACACTCAGAGCACTTGTAGGGTCTCTCTCCTGTATGAAAGCGCTGGTGGTAGGTGAGGTGGGAACTCCTCTTGAAGCTCTTCCCACACTGAGAACAATTAAAGGGTCTCTCTCCTGTGTGGACGCGTTGGTGGTAGGTGAGTTGGGATCTCTTTTTGAAGCTCTTCCCACAGTCAGAACACTTGTATGGACTCTTTGCTGAGCGTATGCACTGGTGGTTAACAATGCTGGAATCTTTTTCAAAGCTATTTCCACACTCCGTGCATGGATTCTGCTTTTTCTTCTGGCACACATCCTTGCTCCCGGGTTCTTCAGGCTCCTTTTGACCTTTGCTGAAGTCCAGTGGGGTGCCTCCTGTCTTTTGCAGACACTTTCCTACTTGCTTCACGCTGTGCTCACCCTGACCTTGCTCCAGATCTCCTTGGACATCCCTTCTGATTTCCTCCACACAGACACCACCCCACTGCCTTTCAGCCACACCACTTTCCTGCTGATCCTCCAGTATATCTGTAATCCGAGTTCCTGCTGGATGACAGGAAATCCAGAAATAGCACACAGTGCCCCAAATAAAACACAGACAGAGATTGCTCTTACAGCCAAAGCCTCCTTCCCTCCCTCCACCTCACCTGGGCTGAGGTCTCCTGGCACAGCCTCAGGGCTACGCACATCTGGGATCCACGGCTCTTCCCCTCCTTCAAGCAGGGAGATCACCACGGGTTTGGGGGCTGCAAGTGGAGCTTCAACGAGAGAAACAGGGGAGATGAGAACACTTCCATCGTTCTGGCACAGTGCCTGTTCAACAGCTCCACTCTGT